ATTTTTTTAGAATATTATGTATATAAAATTATCAAATTATGTATAACGATTTTAAGATATAGGCACAAAAGTCGATCTTTCATCTGCACGAATTCATTAAACACAATTTGAATTATGAATGTGGTATTAAGAGAATAACTGATGAGTGGTGACAAAGCAGACGGATGTGTTCCTAGATTGAAATTTAGCGAAAATCTTTGTATTGTGTATCATTTTTATATTTTGTGTATAGGTGTAGGATTTTACTAATAAAATTACGGTTTTTTTTATATATGAGAAATTGTATATTTAAAAATCTACAATTAATATATACGAGATTTCGATTTTACATACAAGGATTTTTCGAAGACCCGTGATTAATATTTAAGCCTTATCGTTTTCCAGACTTATATCAAATGTGTCTTTGTATTTTTGGAATATAAACTAATTGCCTAAAGGAACCAGCCGATTAAGTTAGACAAACAAACAAAATGTTTTTCTTTGCGAAATTGTGAGACCTCTTATCAACATTTAAGTTACTATCTTTTCAACTTCATATTGATTCGAACCAATCGCGAGAAAATAAAATTATATGTTAACCGCAAAGATAACAATTTATTGGTAATCCGCGGTTTACTCTGTTGTATTACCTTTATCTTATTTTTAGGTTTAAACAAAAACTTCGATTTGCTAAAATAATATTGCTTAAATCAGTTTTGGTTTATTTATTTTATTAAATCTTAAATTTTAAATTTAAAATTTCGTAACGTAATTAATTTTTTTATACAGCAAAACTATTATAATAACGGCGTTATACATAATTCAATAGATACGAACAGATTTGGTAAATATTTTTAATTTTATTGATTTTAAAAGTCAATGGTAAATTTATTTGTGTCGTAAAATTTGAAAAACCAGAAAATTTAAATCCAAACCATCCAAAAATACGATATCAAACAAAAAGAATAACAAAATAATTTTGACACAAATTGTTATTGAAATGAAACAAAAAAAAATTTTTAATTAAATGCAAAAATTTCAAACTGGTTTGCGCCCATAATTATGGTTTTTTTAAAATATATATAATCTGACATAATACCATAAAAACAAAATTTTCAAAAATGTGCTTTCAAAATTGAATAATCTAAGTTCTCAACCAAATGGTGAATATAACAATAATATGTACATATGTATGTTAAATTTGATGAAAATTTATTTCGATTTTCATCATAGACAAACAAACTATTGTGACCGTGACTATGGTACACGTTAGTAACTAAGGTTGATACTGTTAAATACTGAACTATAACTTCATTATTATTTCAATAGATGGCAAATATATCATAAGGAAAAGAATAGCTGCGTTTTTTTTTGTTTAGTTTCTATGAAACGTTAAATTCAAATTTATTAAAAGGGCGAAAATTTTTACTATTCTGTTAGTCGATTTATTTTGAAATGGAATACTCGAGACATGTAGAATTGTCGAACAGCGAACAGAGATAAAATTCAAAAGTAACCACATCCCATAATCCAATAAGCATATTAGAAAAGAAAAAATATTTTGTATATAAGTTAAAAAACAAGCTTGAAAAAAAGTAGAATTTGATACAATGAGATTTTTATTTATTTTAATTCAAAATTAAAAGGTAACTTTGTTATATTGACGATAGCATAATTGAGACGCTCAGCACATTAGTGGCTTATCCAACATTTTTGCAAAAATGAGTTACTATGTTCAATTGGGTTGTAATATTCTAAAGAATTGTTCTATATTTTCAAAATATTTACTTTGCTCCTCTTTTCACTCTATTTTAATATAATTTCGTTTTTGTTTTTAAAAATTTTCTTAAAAATTAAATATTTAATAATCTCAATCGCAATTTACTCGAAATTTCATTTTTGCAAGTAAGCCAATTAAGGCGCTTAGTGCCTTAATGCTTCTTTTATTTTATTAATCTTTGGTAATATTTAGTACTTTTATTAAGAAATTTTTAAAAAAGAAAAATGCTTCAAATATCTTGAATAGCCATTAAAGGTTCATAACCTTGATAATATGAATAGATACAAAACCAAAAATTTCCAATCAAATACACAATCCTAATAGGAATTAAATGAAACTTGGTTTTTAGATTTAGAAAAAAAAAATTCCATAATGATTGGAAAAAGTACTATTGAAGATTCAATAAGCGCTTTAAGTTTCATACTCAAGCTTTCAAAACTTGAATACACATTTTTGTTGTTTTGGTTTATTTTACTTCAGCTCTCCATAAACTCTACAGTTGGTAACAAAATATTCGAAAATTTTTAGGGGTAGCGTAAAAGTAGGAGAAATTTTTGTTTTTCTTTTCCTTTTTACTCATTTTTTCCCTCGATAAATAATTTTTATGTAATTATTATTATTTGCAAAGTTTGTTTGTTATCATTTTTATGGTAGAAATAGTGGAAAGAAAAATTCAATAAAAACAAAAAAAAAAAAAAGAACACAAATATAAATATTCAAAGTCAACAACAACAATATTGTAAGAACAGTGAGTGAGAGTAAAAAAGAAAATATACACAGAAAGTAAGTAGCAGCAGGTTATCATAGAACCGACCTTAAAAATATAACAGACGAGCATAAAAAACTGAAAGCAAAAACAAAAAAAAAACATCATATGAGTTTTTTCTTGTTTACTTTTTTTGCCTTTTGCTCTTGTTTTTTCCTTCTAGTATATAGATTTTCTTGTTTCATCATACTTGATACAATATTATTTTCTTGGAGCTTGAACTTACATTACTTAATACATAATATTATGTATAGGTACATAGAATGAGTCCTATTGTATATAAGGTATGTATTCACATATGTGCCTATATTTGTATGTACTTATATGAATGTGTATGTAGGTATATACTTATACATATATTGTACAATTTTGTGTCCATGTTTTATGTAATTTTTTTTATATTTATGGATATGAATAGAATGCATACGTTTGTGTGAATCTACGTTCTAATTTGAAAAATACAAAGTAAAACTAAAAGTAAAAAGTTCCATCAGACTTTTTTTTTGTTGCTGTTTTTTTTGCTTTTTATTTTGTTATTATTTTAAAAGCATCTGTGTGATACTGGAAAAAAAAATTATATTTTTTTTCCCTCTTATGTTTGTTGTTTTGCTTGTTTTCATTTGTTTCGTTTTTTTTTTGTTTTTTTTTATTTCTTGAAAGTATATACCGTTCCTGATATGTATAAAAAATATTTAGTCTAGTTTGAGCCGTCGTCAAGTAAGTTTCACAGAAATAAGAAGAGAAAAAAAAATTAAAATAAAATTTAAATTAATTTAAAAAAAAAGGAGAGAAAATTACAAAAAAAAAAAATCTTTTTATAAATTTTTTTTAGTGCTTAGCAGTATAAAAATATATTCAAGTGTCTATATAAAAATTATGTATGTATATGTATTTGTATATAAGGAAAATCTACAAACATATGTAAAATAAATAGCAAAAACAAAAATTACAACGGTTAAAATAACGGTTCAATTTGTTTTTTTTTTTATTTTTATGTCTGTTTAGTTTTCCTTTTTAATTTCTATTGGTGAAAACAAAAGAAAAGAATTAAGATTTTTAACTAATTTTGATTGATAAATTTAAAAAAAAAAGATAAGGATACAAAAATTTTATATGATTTTTGGAGAAAATTACAAAAAAACAAAATATTAAAGAAAGTTAAAGAAATTTAAAAACAAAAATTTTTTTTTACTATTAAAGGACATCTTACTTGAGTGTGTATAAAATCATTTTTAGAGGAATAAATTAAATTTTCTTTACTCATTTACAAATCTGTACATATCCATAGATACACACAAACATACATACATATGTGTATATTTCGTATGTGTCTATAATCGTATTGGAAATTTTATACTACCAAAAAAATAATAATAATAATAAATAAAATTTGAGAAACTTGGATATTGTTTGTTGTTTTATTACCAATAACAACATTTGTTAAAAACAAAAATATACCATTAAAAATATTTTATAAAAATCAATGGGAGAAAAGGACAAATATTTAAGGATAATTAAAAATATAAAATTTTAATAAAAAAAAATTTAATTAAAAAAAATTTTATATGTAAAAAGAAAATAAGAAAACTTTACTAATTTACATTATTTTGGAAAATATAAAAACACATAATAGGTATGTGTGTATGTGTTTACGTACATAAATTATATAATATAATTTAAATGGAAAGTATCACTTGTTTTCACTAATACATCTTTAAAAAAACGGGATTTTTTTTTTAAGAAAAAAAAAAACAAACAAAAATATTTTTGAGGTTTTGCAAATTAAAAATACCAAAAAACAAGCAAAGCAAGGAATTTTTTTTTCGTTTTTTTTTTTACATTTTCAGGATATTTTTCATTTATTTTTTTTTATTTTATTTAATAATGTGTTAATATAATACACAACAAATACTTCTACATCAGTAAATACAAATATATGTTTAAACATATAGATACATACATACAGACATACACTCACAAGAAATTACTATAGAAAAAGTTTTCAATTTTGTTTTTATTTTATCTTTTCAATATTACCCTTCATTTCATTTCTCATTAATTCTCAATTTATTTCATTATATACATGTAATTTTTATTTCTCGTTTGAAGAAAACTCATAGTAAATAAACGAAGTTAATTTAAAATAATTCAAATGATTGTAAATAAATTAATTCGATTAAATATTGGATTTTAAATTTTTTCAGAAAATTTTATGGTTTACATTGTAATATTAAAATCAAATAAATTGAACCAAAAATATAATTAGTAATTGACGTGCTTAAATTCAAGAAAATAAAATTAAAAGGCTCAACAAATTAATTTTTTTATTAATATTTACACAATATAAATAAAACTTTTACAAACATAAATTATAAAAGGAAAAAAAAATAAATGAAAACTTTATTGATCTGTATTGAAATTCAAGGAATTAAGTGAAAAATTCAAGGATTAAAACATTATCAAAGAACAAATATTTAATATTCATATTAATGTGTCGAGTTGAATTTATTTTTAATATTAAAGAAGAGAAGAAACTATTAATTAGAAAAATAATTTTTGATTAATTAGCAGAATTCATTAGAATTCAGGTGATTCAAATAATTTTAATTAAACATTTTTTTTTGTTGTTGTTTCAATCGTATTCAGCATTGTGATCCGGTTATTTTTGCAAATAAAATTTTTTCTTTGACAAAAATGTAAGTATAATATGCAATATTGATTTTGATTTTAAAAAATATTCATATTTAATAAGAAATATATACTTACATATAAATAAATAATACAGTAGAGTCAATAAATAAATAATACAGTAGGTTTAGCAATTTTATCGGAATTTAAATTATAATTAAATAAATTTAAGTATATGTTATATGTGCTCAAATAAGCATATGAGGCTCAATTTGTTCACTCATATACACAGACAATGAATATTTTTAAATATAATAAATCATAAAATATAAATATTTTTTGGGTAGCAATCTTTAAATAAATTATACATGATTTTTTGATTAAATCTAATTAATGTTGTATGGTCTAATAAGAAATTTTGTATTACAAGGTTAATATCTGGACGATTAATAATTATGGGGTAGTTATAATGTGATTAAATCTAATAAGTCAAAAGAATCGCATTATATTGAGTAATTTTGATTATTCAGTGATTCTTCTTTTATGATAATATTATATACAGCAATTGAAAGTTTTGCATTTTAAAGCTTTAGTTGATGTACTTTGACGCGAATTTACCTATATATGTAAATACATCTAGTTTATATATGTAAATATATAATAGTAGACTAGTTTCGATTCATTAATTTTTAAATTTTTAATAAAACTATGTAAACATACGTGGAAAAGTTTACAATATCTTAAAAACTTACAGTGTATTAATAAGCATTCAAATATAAAAAAAAATGCATAGCTATAGGGGCTAACGACTACTCTCGCTGATTTGGTTGATAAATATAACTAGTGCTGACTTTTTATTTCGTTCACTTCCTGAATAACGGCGCATCCAAAATTAAAAAGTTACCGAGCTGCCCCTCTAAATGCTTGAAAGTAATGTAGTACATATTAATTAGTAAGATTAATTTTTATGTTAACTGTTATAGTTTGAACTCAACTTGCTAAATGAAAACTTATAAAAAAAAACAAATTATTAATTTTTAAAATAATTTTGTTCAATTTTAAAAATATGTAACTATACTCAAATTAAAAAATCTGGTGTGGTCAGCACATAACTGGCCGCAAGGTTTATTTTCTAGTTTAAAAACAATATTTTACAAGAGTATAGAAATGCGTTTAAAACCCCTCTTCTAAATTTTAAGATCGATAGCATATTTTTAGTTATCATACACAGAAAAATTTAATCTCTTAATGGGGGTATACTTAATGCAATCTGAATTCCCCTAAAAGTTCTTCACTTATTTTTAATATCAAACAAAACCCAAATATTGAATTTCAAATTCCGTCAATTTGCAAAATCGCCACCTATCGAAAGTTCAGTTTTCAAATCCTGATATTCCCGAAAAATTTATAAGCTCATTGTTTTAGCTACCTGAGTTCAAATTGAATTTTCAAGGAAATTGGTAAATATTTCTCTTTACAAGCGGAAAAACGTATTTTTGTTCTGTTGTAAAGGCGCCGTTACTGACACCTGATTTTATCCTAAACTTAGTTATGAGAAAAACATTTCCGCTGAAAATTCCACATGTGAAATTTTGTACCATTACAAGACCTCTCTTATTGTATTTAATGCGCTCGGTAAAACGGGAGGAGATCAATTGTGCATATTTTATATGCAAAGATTACATATGTGTATTATATAAAATATTTTGTAAATAAAATAATACTATTTAATAAAATTGTATTTTATTGAAAATCAAACTTGAAATTGTGATGATATGTGTTTTTTGAGGAAAATTATATACTATAATAAACTATATATGTACAATATGACACGGTGCTTGAGTTTGAGAACTCTAAAAAAGAACATGCGATTATATTGAAATTGCTATGTAACGCAAATCGATTTCTTATTCTTACTTTTATTATATTTATGTAAATAATCGATAAAATTGAATCTTTATATACATGGTGTTACATTATACGTGGTGAATATTTTGAAATCACAATTAATTATAACAGTTCTCAAGAAATAAGGGCTCAAGCAATAGTTATTCGCGTTATGGAAAACGAAGAACCTCATTTAAGAATTTAAGAACCTCAGCTAAGAATTTAAATTTTTTTTCTCTTTAGAGTAGTCAAAGATGTAATTGGAAGATTTTAGACTTGAGTTTGCCTGAAAAACAAAATACTTTTTTAAATTTCATATGAAGGACAGCAAAAAGTACATGGTAATTTGCTTTTGATTGCCAGTAATTTGAGTTACAACAGATAGTTAATAAAAATTCTAAACAGTAAAAATACCATATGTATTTAAATTGTAATCAGAACTTCAATTACCGCATTTTATTATATAACTGTAATTTACTGAGTATTTAGAAAAAGTAGACAAAAAACTGCAGTGGGTAAAAAACCCTTGCATTCTTAGTCAAATGGTGAATTTTCGAAGCAATGACTTTTAACTTAATATCAAACCAACATAACCAAGGGGATGTCTTATGTCAATATTATATTTCTTATTTTACAGATTTACGAAGCAATTGTAATCTACTATTATGAAATTTAACTTAATGGCAGACTGACTTAACGAAAGAGACGTATCACACGTAATAGATTTCATCTAAATCCCAAATATATTGCCAAAAAAATATAATAATTATTGTTTAGGTTCATTTTATGATTTTGTTCAAATAAACAATACTACAAATTGTGTGGCACCCTATACATTTTCGCATTTCTCCCTTTTAGACATACTGTATATTACTGCATATATGAGCTTTGAATGTTAACATGAATTCGTATTATATAAAATATTTGTGTCATTATTATTTTTTTTAGCACTTTTTCAAAAATTATTTTGTAAAAAAGGTCTTATTAGTTAAATTATGTCAGTCCGTCCGCCAGCCCTTGGATGCGTTTATATGACTTTTAGAGTGTAGAACGCTGAAATTTCATAAGTACATAGATTTTTACTAGAAACTTATTTTCGTACAAGAAAATTTTTTACTTATCTCCCAAACTCTAAAAGTTGTACCTCCTTAAAAACCTGAAAATGCAATTTTTTAACTATTTATTGCACTGAATTCATAAGTATTTTTCGAGTTTTGCAAACGCATAACAGTAGTGGCTGGCTTGTTTATTCTCATTTTATATTTGCACATCAGAAAGGCAAAACGGCCGTTAAAATTTACCGTTATCTAAAAAACGCTTTTTCCAAATTTTTGATATCGTGTTTATTCTTGACCGCAGGTTGTAGAAGTCTGAAATTTTTAGACTAGAAATGTTTTTCCTACTCAACTTTAAGTTATGGCTTCTCGAAATTTGTAAAATTTGCATTTTTGACATCTTAAATTTTCGAAACTGCATGCTTGTTCAAATTTCTATAAAAGCAGAAAACTAACGGAAATTTTCATGTCATTAAGAAAAACAATTATTTTTCTTAACTCACCCAATTAACCTATTCGAACATTATCTTAACGCCTCTTTAAATATTTTTTGTATGGTTTTATTTCAAAGAATGTATACATTGCTCATCCTAAATGTATGCAACCTTTGAAATTTATTGGTATATATATAAATGAAAGTAATTTTTTTTTAATTATGTACATAGATTGTTTTTAAAAGCTGTATTTTCACTTGTTGAAGAGAAAATTGCTACATTACAAACCATTGGGTTGACCCAACTTTATTGTATGTGTAGTTTAAGAGAAAAATTAATCAATATAACGTTTCTGTTTTTCTTTTGTATAAATTTTGTTTATGTTTTAAACAAATTTTTACATATACAAAAATTATTTGATAGAGTATATTTTTAAAACTGTATTCAAATATACATACACACATATGTAAGTGCATGCAGATGTGCGTATATTATATAGGTTTGTATACCAAAACCAATATTATAAAAATAACATCAATAGTAAACAAAATAATTTTTTATGCCGGTGGTTTTGTAAGTTTTTATTTTTTTGTTTCAATATTAAATTCTTTTCTTAGGGCTTACATAATAAGAAAAAAAGTGATGCTCATATAAATACTACAAATTAATTTTAATTTTATTTAAAAATAAAACATTGTTTTTGACGTAATATTTTTATAAAATGCTGATAAAAACGATTTCCAAATTAATTTTCAAGAAATTCTGAAAAATTTTCTTGTGATTTATCAATGGGTTGATTTTTAAGGCGAAGATACTAATTAAAAATTTGCGAAAGAATAATAAAAAAATGGCATTAAAGTTAAAGATTGAGTAAAATAAGTTTGAATCAAACCAATGTCAAGTAGCATTTGTTAAAAGAAAATAAATTTTATGTTACAGGAAAAAATTTACCTTTGTCTTTTAAATTAAAGCTTTAAGGGCAAAAAAAATAGATACGTACGTATTTGAAATTTTGAGGAAGGAGAGATATAAAGAAAATAAAATACTAAGAAATATTGAAAGTGTTTACAAAATATAAAGAAAATATTTGGTTCTCCTGTTACTTTCAGAACACGTACAAAAAATAAAATAATTGATTTGCATACTTGCCTTCTATGCAAATTTTGAAACTGATAACACACAAGACCAAGCAATCTGTAAATCAATAACAAATTTTCAAGTGACGTTTGTTATTTAAAAATGAGTAGTTAAAAGTTAGATTTTTGAGAAGATTTTCTAGCCCGTATCCCTCACTTTTAAAAAAACTAAAAACGTCATGGTTTCATGATGAAATTTAAAACCATTTAGCTCAAGCTTATATTGAGGGAAAATTATAATTATATGTATAGCATAATTTCCCGCTATAGTTTTGTTTTTCAATATTTTTGTAAGACTTGTTTTTAAATTGTATTAATTTAATTTTAATTTTCATACTAATTCATGGTATACACACATACATATATAATATACCTATTACACATTATTATTTTATAATTTATACATATTATGTATGCATATAAAATTTCAGTTAATATTATAAATTCAGTCTTAAGAAAATCCAATTTAAAATGATTTTTTTTATATTTTGGTATTGGTATATGGTACATAATATATATATACCATTTACCTGTGCGTATAAAATTCCTGAAAGAA